ACGTTCTTTGAAATAACAGCCATTTCGAGCCGCGTACTTTTCATAAGTGCAGCTCTGCGTTCTACTGGATCAGAGCTGAGACAGCGGCGCCCAAACCCGCAACAGCTCCGGCACCTTTGCGCACAGAGAACTGCTTTTTTAATCTTCCCATTCTGCTGTGCTGCGGGTTAATACCAAAACTTTCTAGCAGCAAACGACGGCTCGTTCACATGGTCAGAGCAGCGAGTAACGAGCCGCGTCTCACAGGTCTTCACAAAAGTTTAAATACAAGTGATGTGTGTGGAGCTGATCCCGAGGACCATAAACACAAACATGTTCCATGTGGTTTGACTGGAGCCGCGTATTTGCGCGAATCCTTTGGGCTCCGTGACACAGAGGAGCGCGACAGACCGGTATGTGTGTGTGTATGTGTGTGTGTGTGTATGTGTGTATGTGTGTGTGTATGTATATGTGTGTGTGTGTAAATGTAAGCTCCAATGTAGTTCTGACCCGCGCCAGTGTGCAACTTTGACGGTAACAGAGGGGAGAGATGATGCGTGTGGATGTTACGTATGGAGAGGGGGAAAGTGTGTGTGCGCGCGTGCACATATGTGGCTCGTGCGGCGTGAGAGTCTCACGATACATGGCCCCATTCATTCTTTCCTTAACACGGATCAGTCGTCCTCCCCCTCAGCAGAAAAACAGCCCCAAAGCATGACGTTTCCACCCCCATGCTTCACAGTAGGTATGGTGTGCATCTCAGTATTCTTCTACCTCCAAACACGACGAGTTGAGTTTATACTAGGGCTGTCAAAATAATCGCGTTAACACACGTTAATAAAAAAAAATCATATATCGCGTTAAAAAAATTAACGCATTTGACGCATGCACACGTGCATGTGTCCGCGGCATTCTGAGTGTTATTATGGGACGCATGGCCCATAATAACACTCAGAATGCCGCGGACACATGCGCGTGTGTAAGATGGGGACAGAGCAGGTAGGCCCTCTGGGAATTCAAGTTTTGAAAGAATACACGCGTGACCTTGGGGCACTTGTTGTTTGTATGAACTCTGCATGATGAGCTGCGGGCGTGACAGCGCTCTGGACAGCAGTTCCCACTTCCAGCGGCTGTGATCACAGCGAACGGCGCTGCATAATGGGATCACATTCAAGACCACGCACAGAACTATTACAGAACTATTCTCTAGTGTGCGTACGTGTCTCCTCCGTGTCTTCTCCCGAAGCGCACTCGCTAAATTAAAGCTGAGGTACCTAATTTTCCTTTTTCGACTACCAGTTCATGTTAGTTGTGCCAAAAAAAGTAATGTTGTGAGCAAATCAAACAGATTTAATGACATTCTGCATTTCTGACTATTTTGAAATGTCCCTCATCTTTAACAAACAATGGTTTTGGTCTGAGTCTAAACAGAAAGACAGAATGTTAATAATGTTACAGTAATTCCATTTTATATGGATTTATTGTTATAACAAACAAATACAGTACATATGTTCACTAAGCTGTCATTTATCTTTCCATTCAAACAACAATTTACAGAAAAATATGGCATAATTTTGCCAATAGTTTGAAATGTGATTAATTACGATTAATACATTTTTAAGCTGTAATTAACTCGATTAAAAAAATTAATCGTTTGACAGCCCTAGTTTATACCAAACAGTTCTACTTTGGTTTCATCTGACCACATGACATTCTCCCAATCCTCTGCTGTATCATCCATGTGCTCTCTGGCAAACTTCAGACGGGCCTGGACATGCACTGGCTCCAGCAGGGGGACACTGGCACTGCAGGATTTGATTCCCTGTCGTCGTAGTGTGTTACTGATGGTAACCTTTGTTACTTTGGTCCCAGCTCTCTGCAGGTCATTCACCAGGTCCCCCGTGTGGTTCTGGGATTTTTGATCACCGTTCTCATGATCATTTTGACCCCACGGGATGAGATCTTGCGTGGAGCCCCAGATTGAGGGAGATTATCAGTAGTTGAAATATTGTTGTGGGCTACATTTGGGCTATCTTTTATACAGATATTGAGTTCAAACAGGTGCCATTAATACAGGTAACGAGTGGAGGACAGAAGAGCTTCTTAAAGAAGAAGTTACAGGTCTGTGAGAGCCAGAGATCTTCCTTGTTTGAAGTGACCAAATACTTATTTTCCACCATAATTTACAAATAAATTCTTTAAAAATCCTACAATGTGAATTCCTGGATTTTTTTATTTCACATTCTGTCTCTCACAGTTGAAGTGTACCTATGATGAAAATTACAGACCTCTGTCCTTATTTTAAGTGGGAGAACTTGCACAATCGGTGGCTGACTAAATACTTTTTTGCCCCACTGTGTATATATATATATATATACATACATTTATAGATAGATAGATAGATATAGAAAGTAAATGTTACAAAACGAATTTAAATAAGAGCTTGGCCTCTGTGGCCTGAAAGCACAATTATCACAGTATTCTCTTGCAAACAACTGAAGCTGTTATATCATGTTGTAAACTTGTGGGTTATTGACCAAATGAAACAAACGTAGGGTTGTATTAAAGGTTACGACATGTTTTGCTGTGTGCTCCTCAGTCCTACTGTTCTGTAACTGATGATGTAACACTGGCATTTGCACACTGTGGGACACATAGAGGATCTCTCATTCTTATTATTTATAGATTACTTGTTCAGGGAAAAATTCACAGCAACTCATTCAGTGTTGGAAAACTATTGAAATGGATATTGGATTGGAGTAAAAGGCAAGAATCTTGTCCAAAAGGTGTAAATAGTGAACTGAACATGGTTTCTTTAGATGAAAACCATAGAACGCAAATTAGAAATCCTGGTATCAATAAAGTTAAGTTAAAGTATGGTGATTTTTCTTGTTCTCTCCAGTAATACATGTGATACATTTATATACAGTTAATATACTGAATGTCTTTGGTTGAATAAAATGTTATCTTCATTTAAAAAGAAGTGCAATATGACATTATGTGTGGAGCATTCATGGGTGGCCTTGCGGCCTTGTTGAGTTGTTTGTAAAACATTTTGATTTGATTCTGTAATCATAATGGAACTATTATAAAAACTTTTCTTTTCTTCTCTTTAAGGTTCAAAGAAACATTAATCAATTACTGAATGAGTTGACAATTATATAAATAATTAATTAGTTGCAATTGCTCAATCAACTCAAAAAATTTACCCAAACAAGATGAGATGCTTCATGTGAGAGGAGTAATTGCGTTACAGAAAATCCCCATTGTGTGAAAGTGTCATCATTTACAGTGTACTGTGGGAGGCGTGAGCAGCCGCCGCGCTTAGCCCTTGCAAACCTCTACTGCTTCTATTAAAACACAATGTCAGTGGTGTCAAAGGACAGCAGTGCAAACACAGTGTGCAATGAAAAGCAATTTCACTATCACCAGCTGCTCGCCATATAGAGCCACTGGTCTTCAGACACCCACAACAACATAACACAAATATAACTTCTAAATGTCAATAAGATACGGGTGCTTTTTTAGTAAAGTTGTAAAGATTAGTTTTCTGGACTCGGTATATCCACCCAGCAGTCCCAAAGGTATCCCAATACAGTCTCCACTCAGCACTGCTGTCATGACAGTCCCAGCACATGTCTGTAGTGCTGGGATTTCAACAATAGAAAAATTACGCTCAGAAGTACCAATACTGCAGTTTGATCATGATCCTATAGGTGGATCTTTGTTTACATCCGCGTGCGCAAAAGCGACAAAGCGGCACATACTGAAGCATGGATACCACGAATACTTTTATAAGACATAGGGGGCGAAATGCTAACAATGTATATAAGACCTTTACCGCAAGAAGATCAAAGGATATATAAAGACAAGCTAAAAAAAAAGTATATGAGACCGAACTGAACAAATTCAAAACCCATATGACACCTGGGATGCCGAGAAAAAACATTGGTCAGACTCACCTCTGTCTTGGCACCGATCTGCAGGGAGACATTTATTCTTATTTCATAGAAAACCTTGGACCCTTCACGCAAGAAGGGTCCGTGGTGAAAAACCATTCCTGACGTTTTTCACTGCAGTAAATTGGCCTGGCTTTTTGCCGTTGCGATAAAGTGGTCCGCACATTAATAGCGGGTTGCCCCTTTATACTGTTACTTACGATAAACGTGGAAAAGGATGCCGCTGGGATGAGCAACCAAATTGCAATGTTTAAAATTCATCATGACAGTGAACAAGTGTGCAGTGAAAGTAACTGCACACTTTTTTTTTTGTGAGAGCCAGGGACTTTGTGTTTAAGGGTCTTAACAGCAGTTTGGGTGCTCCCTATGAAACGTCCTTATGCCGTTCATCTTCACCCCGTTCACTGAGTGTTGTGTCCTACAGATGTTCTCTGACAACTCTGCCATCATCGGACTCATCTCTAAGGACGATGACACAGAGGACTAACACAGGACTTTGTGGACAGGTTTCAGCAGAACCACCTCCTCATCTCCTCATCAACGTGGGAAAGACCAAGGAGATGGTGGTAGATTTCCGCAGATGTCACTCTGTCGCTCCAGCCCCAGTGAAAATCGATGGAAGGGACATTGAGAGTGAACTCTGACAAGTACCTGGGTGTTCAATTGACTGGACTCATAACACAGACTCACTCTTCAAGAAGGGCCAGAGCCGAGTCTACAGTACCTGCTGAGGTGGCTCAGGTCTTTTGGAGTGCAGGGGCCACTCCTAAAGACCTTCTATGACTCTGTGGTGGCATCAGCCATCTTGTACGGTGTGGTCTGCTGGAGCAACAGCATCACAGAGAGGGACAGGAAGCAAAAATTGAATCCATATAAACTTCACCCAACCAACTGGCAAAGTCCCATCTGATCATAGTTGATCAGAGACCATATGAAAGTATGACAGACCAACATTATGACCAAAATGTTTTTAAATACATTTTAGCTTGTTAAGATGGCTGAAACAGAGCGCTGTTAACACTGCCTGAAACCCCATCCTGACAGTATTGCCACAGTGGTATTTCACCATCGAGGTATCTTCACATTTCCTGGCTCTGCCACGCGCATTGTGCGGAGGAAACACACAGAAAGATTATGTGGAGCGGTGTCAAAGGAGAAACTTAAGAGCTGATGGATGGGCAGGTGCCAAGACAGGCCCCAGACGAGTCCACAGCTCAGAGCAGATAAATCCAGAGCAGACAGCGATAGTCCCGAGCCATCAGACTGACAACAGCCGATGCCACAGGGGCCCCCAAACCCCCACCACTCCTTCCACAGGTGTATGCCGCGGTGATTAACTGTCAATCCCCCACTCTCTGCACACGATCACATGAGGAAACTGCACAGTGACTGAGGACGTGACCTTGGCCTGCATCTTTCCATTGTGTCTTCACAGGGTTTCACACGCAGGAAGCAAATCCATTAAATGTTTAGAAGTGTTTAGTGGACTCGGAAACAACAGGACCAACACTAAACACTGCCTTGACAAGGGAAGAAGGAGAAGAAAATCTAATTGAAACAGATGGAATGAAACACGGGCATGTTGACTGAGGTAGTGCAGACTTATATGGGGATTCAGTGGCCAATGTTGATTTGTTTTTGTTTTTTTCAAAGATTGTTTGACCAATTTTATCATTTGTATGTATCTGTTTGAATGCATATGTATTATTGAATAGCAGCTGGTGTAAATAGAACAGTCTACTTTGGACTAATTGCATTTGTTGTCCCACAGTCACAAACACACAATCATTCACTCTGGCTTATGTTTTTAGTGGTAGGAAACAGAAGCTTTATACTCCATCGGATACTCGAGGGTTCATGGGAGTTCGCCCAACCTGTCCACATGTGCTTTGTGGATTTGGAAAAAGCGTTCGACCGTGTTCCCCGGGGTATCCTTTGGGGGGTCCTCCGGGAGTATGGGGTCCGGGGTCCTCTATTGAGGGCCGTTCGGTCCCTGTATGACCGGAGTCAGAGCTGTGTTCGCATTGCCGGCAGTAAGTCGGACCTGTTCCCGGTGCATGTTGGCCTCCGCCAGGGCTGCCTTTTGTCACCGGTTCTGTTTACTGTGTTCATGGACAGAATTTCTAGGCGCAGCCAGGGGCCGGAGGGGGTCCGGTTTGGCGACCACAGGATTTCATCTCTGCTGTTTGCAGACGATGTTGTCCTGTTGGCTCCAACGAACCAGGATCTGCAACATGCACTGGGGCGGTTTGCAGCCGAGTGTGAAGCCGCTGGGATGAGAATCAGCACCTCCAAATCTGAGGCCATAGTGCTCGACCGGAAAAGGGTGCCTTGCCCTCTGCAGGTGGGTGGAGAGGTCCTTCCTCAAGTGGAGGAGTTCAAGTATCTCGGGGTCTTGTTCACGAGTGAGGGAAGGATAGAGCGCGAGATTGACAGGCGGATCGGTGCAGCGTGTGCAGTGACGCGGTCGCTGTATCGGACCGTCGTGGTGAAGAGGGAGCTGAGCCGAAAGGCAAAGCTCGCAGTTTACCAGTCAATCTTCGTTCCCTCCCTCACCTATGGTCATGAGCTTTGGGAAATGACCGAAAGAACGAGATCGCGGATACAAGCGGTCGAAATGAGCTTCCTCCGCAGAGTGGCTGGGCGCTCCCTTAGAGATAGGGTGAGGAGCTCAGTCACACGGGAGGAGCTCGGAGTAGAGCCGCTGCTACTCCACTTCGAGAGGAACCAGTTGAGGTGGCTCGGGCATCTGTTCCGGATGCCTCCTGGACGCCTCCCTGGGGAGGTGTTCCGGGCACATCCCACTGGGAGGAGGCCCCGGGGAAGACCCAGGACACGCTGGAGGGACTATGTCTCTCAGCTGGCCTGGGAACGCCTTGGGGTCCCCCCGGACGAGCTGGAGGAAGTGTGTGTGGTGTGTGGATAGGGAAGTCTGGGCGTCTCTGCTTAGACTGCTGCCCCCGCGACCCGGCAACGGATGAAGCGGAAGAAAATGGATGGATGGATGGAAACAGAAGCATCTGGAGGAAACTATAGCGTTTTTTTGTGTGTAATTATTGTGAAGCATGCTATGCCAGCATATTGGAAGATTTTGGAAGATTTTTCATTGGTTTGGCTCCACAACAATAAGTGACGATAAAAACTATTCTGGAGAAATGTTGACTTTATCTGATTTAGGAGGAACCAATGCAACAAAAGCAGGTACGAAGCAGTTACCACGTCTCTGCATATGCACCAGAACAGTTCAATACTGCTGCTTTCCACCACATATTTTATGCAAATAGTGTGATGCAGCAGAGAGCCATGAGCAGTGCTTATGACTGTGGTTGTCACTTGATGAAAAATGCCTGTTGTTTGAAAACAAACACCTGCTGTGCTGCGACACAATTGTCTGCAGCGTACGAAGTGTAGGAGCCGAACACTGTAGCCTCATTATGAATCTGTCCTATTACACCAGCACACAACAGCAGGGCACAGATGTTACACTGCAGATTATCAGAGCATGCTTGAACATTAAAGGGAATGTCTGTGATTACAAATATGTTTCATGTTTTCAAGATTGCACCTCACCCTGTATTATTACGATGTAAGTAAGTCATGCGCCGTTTCACAAAGCCATCCGCCACTATTCACGTTCCATAAAGCTTAAACAATGGGGTGAGTCCATTGTGGCCAATAAGCATGGGCAATATCAGACTAATGTAATCAAATGCTATAATAACTAGAATATGCACTTTCATGGACTCTTCCTACCATCACATTCCAAATATTAGTAGTCCAGTAGTCTTTGCCCAATCCTGCTACAGATTAACAGACACACAATGATTCCTTGCCCCATGCTGGTAGGGTAAGAAGTTATCATACTGACCCTTTTCTTTTTACTGATCACCTTTAAAGTTGGTTTAGGCTTGGTACCATGATACACTTGAAACAGCTTCTGGCAGAATGTAACCTGTTCTATAGTGTTGCTCCACACAAAAAAGGATTTTCAAGGTATTATTTCGAAATTCAAAAGTTCAATGCTGGAATGGAAAGACCGTGTTGGAAACCTGATCATAATGTGACCCACTATTATTGTAGTTAGCACTGTGACTTTAGACAACGTATTTTTTTATTTTGACTCGTTCCGGTTGTCCATGTGGTGAAAAGACCAAACAATAAATTAATTCTCATTGTTGTCTCGAGTCAACATCGCATTTGAGTCTGCAGTATAAAAACACCTATTTGCCGTAAAAACTTAAAAACATCCAGTAAACCAAAATTGATTATCAGCACCACTCCCTATTATAGTGTATATAGTGTTGTATAGTGTATGCTTTTAGTCTGATTTTGTGACACCACTGCCCGGCAAGCCGACAAGAGACAAAGAAGGCGAAGGCAGCAGAGCAGAGCAAAATATCTGCACAATGTTGTTTTCTGCCCCAGGTTTGCGACGCGCACGCAATGATTAAATGAGACAAATTTGCACTCTGTATAAACTTATGACTCTCTTGCTTCCGTGCTTTTGGCCGCATCTAATTTATTTTGCGGTATTTCATTTTTATATAAGATAAAATTGTTTTCTCTCGATCTATTTCTGCTTTTGTTATACCTTAGGGGAATTAATTACAGTGGGTTACAGATGAAGCACTTTCCACTATCATGGTAGACGCTTCGCAGACTGTGTAGAGATTGCCTGTTCTGCTTACTTATTTATGAGAGTGTAAAATACAAACTTGGACATTTTCTCGTGGGTATGTTCTACACTGCAGGATGTTTGCTGGAATAAAGCACTAATGTTATCTGTCTCCTGAAAATGTTGCCATACTGGAGAAGATCATCTGTAGTCAGTATGGACTCAAAGAACAAAATGAAAGGGGACATAATAGACTTTTGATTGTGTTGTAGTATTTGCCTTGTCATTTACATTTCAAAATAGTTTTTAGTGCGATTCATGCTCGTTTAGGTCATTATTCTTCTTCTACAGCTCCATCTCCTCTGACCACAACTCACATTTTCGTTCTGAATTTGCAGAATGCATATAGTTCAACATTTGGCAATTTAGGTAAATGAATTCGGCCTGGTTTTCTTCAGATTTTTTCCCCCCGAATTTTTTGTTGTTGCAATTTCAAAAATACATTTGTATTGCTTTTATTTTATAAATTCATCATGTATGTAAATCTTCTGTGTGTCTGTTCCAGTGTAAATATTTTTGATTTGTTAGTTCCCAAATTAAAACACACTTGGACACAATTCTGTACATTTTTTTTCTAAAAATGGAAAACCCGTTAAAACAAATACTGTTAGTGGAATTATGTATCAATAGATTTATGAATTAGGAAATGACATTCTTAACTAAACAAGACTGTAAAATGACAAGTTGTGTATTTGAATGTACCTTTACAGAACAACTTACACCTCAGACTTCCTTTCAGCAGCAACATGGGTCCAATTTTATTTAGACTTTACTAAGGACCTACATGCAAGCACAGAATCCAGAGCTAAGAATGAAAGAATAAAAAAAAAAAAATAAAAAGACACATAATCACGATATTTACAGCAAGTCACACATACAAAGAAGCCAGTGACTCCAAAGTTTAGAAGTGAACCTGACTGAGCTGATGTAAGGGCAAACCAGGGACTGTACTATACTATTAGGTACCATCATGACTCTACACATAAAACCGATAGTAGCAGTGACGTAGAAAAGGAGCGCACACTGCACTCAGCAAACATCTGACTGGACGACTGTGTCTGGGATCTTCAGCAGCATCCTCATTCAGTCATAGGAAACTGTTCACCTCTGCAGACTGACTGCTTGTAGCTCCGCCACAGTTGGTTTGTGAATAAAGGAGCCCAAAAAGACTGGAACAAGGAGGTTTATACATTCACAGAACACATGTTAGACTTCCTAACCAGCATGTTAGATTGACCACATAGTTTACATCTGTGAGGTCACTGCGTGTGTAATGCCCATTAAGACCAGGACAACTGGATTTAAGAACAGTTTTTACACTTTCAAATGTGACAGAACATAATGTACACTAATGAGTACGTGCTTTTTCATGCAATGATTCTAATTTTGTAACATAAATTTACAATGATAAACACGAGTTGAAAGTTTAAAATGTAAAGGAACAAAAAGGAGATTTGTAGATCAGTTATTATTAATTTTATTGCATTGACATAAACACATCCATCTTTGCAGATCACTGGTACAGGCCAAGGCTGGGAGTAGTGTGAAGTCTGAAACCTTTACCTGCTGCACACCCAGTGAGATCTAAAACAGAAAAGTGGGTTTAGAACAGACATATAATTATTACTTGTTATAACTTAACTATCTTATAAAGTCAGAAGAGAAATAGTAACCACCAAACAGAAAGATGCTCTGCTAGTCTTCTATCAGGACAGGAACTCAAGCTGAACATGAGCCCAGCGGCTTTGACTGTTTCCAACCTGCAGTCTTTCTGACTGTTTCCAACCTGCAGTCTTTCTGACTGTTTCAAAGCTGCAGTCTTTCTGACTGTTTCACACCTGCAGTCTTTCTGACTGTTTCCAACCTGCAGTCTTTCTGACTGTTTCAAAGCTGCAGTCTTTCTGACTGTTTCCAACCTGCAGTCTTTCTGACTGTTTCAAACCTGCAGTCTTTCTGACTGTTTCAAACCTGCAGTCTTTCTGACTGTTTCAAACCTGCAGTCTTTCTGACTGTTTCAAACCTGCAGTCTTTCTGACTGTTTCAAACCTGCAGTCTTTCTGACTGTTTCAAACCTGCAGTCTGAGGGCTCCTCGTTTCTCTTCATAAGCCTGAAGCATCTAGCTCTAACTACTGTCCCTCGACAATAATTGAGAATGAAGCAGAAACAAAGCACAATTGAATGGTTAAGGTACATCTAGCATCATCTTTTATTTACTAAAATTTAGCATAATTACTTTCACCAATACACAAACATATCATGTCCTTATATAATATGAAAGTCTATAACATACATTTATAATAATAAAGCACTCACATTAGGTACATTTGTTACATGTGTAACGCTAAGTGTTTCATGTTTGTCGGAGCTAATGCTAACTTAGCTGTTAGCGCTAGTTGCTAAGTTATGTCTTACCTTGACACTTGTGTATATATTTTTCATCGAAGAACCCCTTCTCTCGTGAATCTGAGAATTCTCATCTGCGATGGTCTCTGCAGCAGCGAACGAAAAAGCTGGTAATCTGACTGATGTTGAGGAGAGTTTTAAGTAGGGATGTAAATCGGTGACCGGTTAACCGGTGGTTGACCGTCACAGCGTTAACCGGTCAAAGCTGTCGGTTAAAAATAAGAAAAAGCGGAGAGGGGAGGTCTCTTCATAACGCTATTTTAAGCCCTATTTGCACGATGTGACGAGCGGGTCCCTATCTAGCTGTGTGCGTCAGTGCATTAGTAGACTACGGGCGACTTTCATGGCGCACGCTCCACATATGCACGCAGCCACACGCGCGCGCACACACACACACACATACACACACAAACACTTTCCCCCCCTCCATACGTAACATCCACACGCATCATCTCTCCCCTCTGTTACCGCCAAAGTTCCACACTAGTGCAGGTCAGAACTACATTGGAGCTTATATTTACACACACACACATACATGTATTGTACACACACACACATACACACATACATACACACATGTATTGTACACACACACATACCGGTCTGTCGCGCTCCTCTGTGTCTCGCAGCCCAAAGAATCCTCGCAAATACGCGGCTTCAGTCAAACACATGAAACCTGTTTGTGCTGCTGGTCCTTGTCATTAGATCAGATCCACACACATCACTTTTAAACTTTAGCGGAGACCTGCGAGACGCGGCTCGTCACTCGCTGCCCTGACCATGTGGACGAGCCGTCTTTTGCTTAAAAATGCTTTACCCGCAGCACAGTATGGGAAGATTAAAAAAGCAGTTCTCTGTGCGCAAAGGTGCCGAAGCTGTTGCGGGTTTTGGCGCCGCTGTCTCAGCTCTGATCTAGTAGAACGCATAGATAAACTTATGAAAAGTACGCGGCTCGAAATGGCTGCTATTTCAAAGAACGTGGAATATTTTTAACTACGCGGTTAACCGGTTTCAACCGGTTAATGAGGCTCGGTGGTCGGTCATGAAAATGCATAGTTTTTTACATCCCTAGTTTTAAGAGACATTTCTCCTACAACCAGCGCTAACAAGGTGCGATCCAAGTACCTGGAGGCGACACTCCCTGGTCTCGTGACAAACGCGCACTTTAGAATCACTTCCGGGGGACGTTTGTGTTTCAAAGGAAAATCGCAAAATGTAATTTAGACGGTCATTATTGGTTTACTGCATTTTCGTTTTAATTGGATCCACAGAAAACAAAAAAACAAACCAATATTTCAATTTTGCATTAAATTCAAATATTGAGAATCAAAAACATCCCTTGTTATTCGTTTTTTCAATGTTGGTTTTATTTAGAAAATCAAAAGAACGAATGATACACGGATTGAAATAAAATATTTGTCTGATGTCCGGACCCTGATCTATTGAACTAATCAAGTAGGTGGACCTCGTGCCAATTTAATTGGGGACCCCTGATCTAGACATTATGATAAAACTAGCACTGGTACTAGTTCCAAATCTCAAACAACAATCAATCAAAAAACAGATTGGCGCTGTCTGTATTTAGTCCCGCTCCCTTTTCAAACCAATGTCACTGTTAAAATTGGGCACTTTTGGTGATTTTGGTGAGCACTGTTTATTGTTTTACATTACATGTTGCCAACATGAGCCAGCAACGAATAATGCAGAAGAGAATGGATAGCCTCCAGAGCAGGGACGCAAAGTGCACAATCCAAACGCATTCTCAGGATTGATTTGACTAGGTTTTCCAGATATATGTGAATGTCCAACCATTTTCATCCGTTTTATCTGTTGCTGCCGGCAGTTGTTTCCCACACTTTCTCCAGCTCATTCAGGGAAATCCCAAGGCGTTCCCAGGCCAGCTGAGGGACATAGTCCTTCCAATATGACCTAGGCTCGGAGCAGTGGGGGAGGGTCCCGGCTCAAAAACGTCCATGAGCATGTGTGCTGACACACTTGCAATACCACCCCAGTCCAGTGGGGGTGAACCCAGTAAGAGAACTAGCCAATGCTTTTTTGTGCCGTCTTCTTTCCTCTCAAAAATGGCTTTACAGGAAGATCCAAAAGTCGGCTCTTGGCTCAAAGCTACGTTTCAGGTGTGTGTGTCAATGCTGAGGGGTATTCTATTTTGTTTTTTTACCACTCTAGTTTAGCCGTTGTGGACTTCAGAAGGCACTCGTTAAATGAAAGGGCTGGTGCCGTCTAACGTCTGCGCAAATGCCTTTTTTCACATTTTCCTGCGGAATTGGGGGGCTGCCCAATTTTGAAAAAGCCACATAATAGTCAAAAGTGATGGCACATTATTTTCAACGGCGGAGAGAGGCGTGACTACGTCTGTTTATATTTACGTCTGTTCACTTACTGGCTCCTCTTGATGTGGAAAAGCAGCAGCTCTAATCCAAGCTCCTTCTGTGTGACCTGGCTCCTTATACAACTCCATTGTTAAAATAATATTTCACATTTTAAAATGTTAAAATACAAAATAGTCACATTATACCTTTTGTTGGACCAATAAATTGTATCATATTTATTCTTTAAAGAACTATGTTTTTCCTCATTAATAGAAAGTCCTACCTGTGCTTCACCTTTTACTTTTCATAAGCTCTTTTAATATATAATATTTTGTCTATATATACTTAATTTCTAAATCTATTTTTACTGTGCCAGGGTCCAAGTAGTTTTTCTTAGGCTTGGGGATCAATGCATTGTGTCCGATCAAACACAAAACCTTACACCAAAAATTACTGCCTTTGATAATTGCATCTTTATATCTAACTTTTTTGCATGCTCTGTTTTACCCTGCAAAGCTAAGGACCACATGCTTATAATCAGCGGATCATAAAACACACACTATAATGCCCAGCCATCAATACATTTTCTTCCCCTTAATCCATTTCTGGGTCAAGGGGGTGTCAGTCAGAGAACCAGCCCCTCACTGATCCTCCTGCAGGTGATGAGTCCACAGGAGGATGGCAGCTCTGTCAGTAACAACACAGCCTTGATCTTTCAGCGAGGAGAGGGGGGAGTCAGGCAAAGTGGGGTTAAGTGTGTCTTTTCTTGCCCAAAGACAGATCGACGGCAGACATCAGTGGGAGTCGGAGGAGATGGTCTCATGGTGGGACCAAACCCATGACCCTCAGGCTCAAAGGCTAACTGAGCCACTGTCACAACTGACACTATTATGCGAAATAAAAATAATGCATAATTCAATTAATACTGTGTTTTTCTTAAGGTCAGAAGCGATGTTCGTGGGGAGCTGATGCTGTTGGTACTGAAGTAATTGCAGTTGGAAAGACTTTTAATTTACACAGGCTTTATACCATATGAAGAAGATGACATGGTCTGGGATCGTGTCTTAAATTCAGACAGAAGACATGTTATATTGTCGATGGTAGAGACAGCACGAACAACACGAACACAGAATGCAAGTGTATTATACAGAGCGGAGGCATGGAGACCTCCAATCAGCAGCTTCCACGGTGCCATGTAGCTTGGCCTTCAGATAGACAAAACAAGGGAAAAGTACTGGCTTCTGCACATTGATAGAATGATGAGTTTAACTTCAACAAAAGTTGCTTCAAAGTGTTATGAAATCTCACATTCCCCCCTCTGGTCATACATTCACGTGTGACCATCAGGATCGATAAACAGCAACATAACATCATAACTCAATACTTCAAAAACTCAAACTCGGTACTTCACTCGCTACCTCAAAAAACTCAGAACTCGGAAAAAAATTTCAGATCTTTCATAAAACTTGTTAACAATCTTCAGTAAAATACCAAACTTCATCAGTTGATGGTGGTTCCAGATATTGCTTTGAAAACAGTCTCTCCCACTTCTCCGTGTTGGTTTCTTCAGGCTGCATTTGTGTCGAGCCACGTGTCTTTCAATCACACGTTTCAGCTTTAGTGTCCAGATTCAGCAATTCAATTCAGTCCAAA